CACCGCAAAAAAGAGGCTAAAATTTGCTATGCTAAAAAACTAAAAATGTTAGTACATCCGCTGACACAAGAAAAACAAGATTTTAATCATAATTTCGAAAGTTCTAAAAAGGAGTTAAAAATTTAATTAAATATTCAAAGAATACTCTGATCATTCCTCTTAATAATAACAAAGATTTTATCGATAAAATTGTTTTCATTACGTTTGGAGTATGTTTTCATCATGGTATGCCGAATTTTCAGCGTCTTTGTGGAGGCATCTAGTTAAATAGCAGGGTAGACTAATCTTTCTAGCCTGGGGCGGAAACCAATCTTAGGGAAAGAAAACTTTGATATTCCAAATCGTGGAAAAGGCAATGAGGTGCACCTATCTTTTTCAAAATTGCATGGCAAATAACATAATTAAATAAAGGAATCTGCAGAAAGTCATCTTCACAGACTTCCTAGAGCGGTGGGTGGGAGGTAATAGTCATTTCAAAAAAGTCTTCGAATTCTTTTTTTATTCGATGAAACATTATAAAATCATCATCATCATCATCAGTCCCATGACCGGATGTGGTCCTAGGGTCGCTGCGCACCTGAGCAGCTGACCTCTACGTGTGTCTCAGTTACGTTTACGTGCCAATGTGAATTATCTTCCACTCCACTTAGTGATGTTGTAAGTTCATCCCCACCTCCTGTCTGCTTCTTCATCTTTTGGCTTCCTTTGGTTTGTTTTACGGCATAACTCCTCATGGGTCATTTAATGCCGAAATTTAATTTTCTTGGGAGCATTAGTAATTTGTTTTACAAAAATGTACTGCTGGTAATATCTTCCCCCTACTATGAAAATGTATTGCTGGTAATTTTTATTACTAAGAAAATGTATTGCTGGTATTTTTACTATAATTTTTTTAATACTTTCATAGTTTTTGATCCCAGTTTGGGGGTTAACTATTTTCCCATAGCTAGGACCCTAACAGGTGCTACCACCCAGGTTCAGAGTGGACCTGGGAACAATAGCAATTAAGAGGTGGTTCCACGCTCCTCAAAACCTCCCCATCAGAAGCCTTGTTGACGGATGCAGTTTATCTTTTGCCTAAGGTGATAACTTAAAGGATTGCAGTGAAAAGATTATTGGCTCTTATGACATACCCATGCCATTTTATGACATGCCCATACCATTTTATGACATACCCACACCATTTTATGACATGTCCATACCATTTTATGACATGTCCATACCATTTTAACTTTCTCCTTAATTGTAGAGACTTGCGGCCAAAGTTAACCAACGTCGAGCTTGGTGACCAGGTGCTGTAAGTTTGGAAGTACAGTTGGTGTATTCGATAATGGCTCGGAATTGTTAATCAAAAATTAACTTGGAAAAAGTATTAATCCACTTTTTCTTCTCCACAAGCTATGGGCTAATTAATAAAACTTGTATCACTAAATCATTCTTATCTCAAAAAAAAAAATTTTTTTTTGTCACTTCATCCCATGTAAGGCAGTAAAGCCACTAAGACACAAGTGTTACTGAATGTGAAACAATAAGAAAAAAAAGAAACATTATTAATGAGCGAGAACAATAGAAGAGTAATCAAGAAGACAGTAGATAACGATTGATATTGCATTTAAATTTTTGAAGATCAAAGTTGGCTGGAATGCATAGAGCCGGAAGTGAGTTCTACAAGCGAAAAGAGACCTTGCTGCCAATCTAGTACTGCGTTTAAATTCATAAAGTCTAGGTACCATAGCGAAGAGTTCACCCAAACAATTACTATGAAAGTATTTATAGAAAAGACACAGAGAAGCTGCGTTACAGCGTTGTGAAAGTGACTGAAACAGTGCCGCCAGGTGAGGACCAATAATATTGCTGATTCTTCTTTGGATTTTATAAAGAATCATTAAATATACAACAGGACCGTATGTGGCAACAATATCCAAAAATATTTTCTCGCTTTTAATAATATAATCTAGAGAAAATGAATAAATCAATCAATCCTTGATGGTGTAAGTCTTTCATTGGTGGTGTCCCAGACCGCGTCATTTGTGATGTGGCCGAAGTAGGAGATGCCTAGGATAGTTCTGTAACATTTCATTTCTAACACTTGGATTCTTCGTTGTAATTCTGCTGTTAATGTCCAAGATTCGCCGGCGTAGACAAAGATTAAGAATCTATCCAAAACTCTTATCTTTGATTTCAGACAAACGTGCTTGCTTTTTCCAAGTGGTTCTTAGTTTATCAACCATTATTATTGTTAATTTTGGTATCTACTTTCATTTTAATTATTCGTTGAGGTAAAATGTGTGGGATTTCGACTCTCATTGATAACTAATCCTTTATTTTCGATCGGCGCTGTTATTCACTGCTGCATATCAACAGCCTCAGTAAAGATGCTAAAAAAAGCAAATAATAAATTAAGATGAATACAAGTCAAAATCAATCATAATGTTTGACATTGCTTCATCGAATAAAGAACAAATAAAACCGCTGCTTCTATTACTACTAGAGTGAGAACAAATATGATGAGACCGTGGAATTAGGTGTGGGTTTAATATGTTAGATTTGATCATCGGCGAGTCGTTTTGTTTTTGTAGCGCAGTCGGTTGGAACAGCTGCTGGATTTAATCAAGCTTCTCCGAGGTAAGAGTGTTGTGAGTTCGAGTTTCCCTAAGACCTGTTTTTGTTTTTATTTCCTATTTGTCCGCTCTACTCGTTCATCTAGAATCACGACCTGAGAAAAATGCGATAAAAAGCAACTAAAAATTAAAATGAACGCATTGCTATTATTCCTTGAATTATTAAGGCTAGTATTTGTAATATCTTCATTGTTAGCTATAATCTGTTGTTAAATGGGGCAAGAAATGCTTTATTCATTTTGACGTCTTCAAAACAAAACTGCTCTCTTTTAATCGTCTGAGAGAACCCTTTTTGCTTTGCATCAGTATGGCTGATGAGTGACTCCAGGAGAGTGACTCATTGCGCCTTCTCGGGCTAACGTTTTGTGCTGACAAAAAGTGGAAAGATTATATTGAATCATTTGTTATGTCTGCTGCTAGAAAAGTTGGTTCACTGTGCTGTGCCAGACAATTTTTCTCGACAGAATCTATCTTAGAAATTTATAAGCCTACCAGTTGTCCATGCTTTGAATATTACTGTCACATCTGGTTTTGGTGCTTATGCTATGTGTATAGAGATTCTTGATAAAATACAAAGAAGACTCTGCAATATTATCAGTCGTATCTTTGCATCTCGGCTTAAATCATATTCACACCACCATAATGTAACTTCCCTGTGTCTTTTTTTTTATAAATATTTTCATAGCAATTATGCGGATGAACTTATTCTATGTCACCTAAACTTTATGAATTTAAGCGCCGTACTAGATTTACAGTTAAAATGACTAGTTATAACCGTAAGTTCTATGCTAATAATTTCTTCTATCACACTTTTCACTTGTGGGACTCTCTTCCGGTTTCTTACTTTCTAATCTACTTTGATTTTCAAAATATCTAAATGCAATGTCAGTCGTTATCATCTGTTTTCTTATTTCCTTTTTTCTCTCGCCTTAAAAATGTAATTTTTTTCCTCATATTCTCTCACATTCAGTAACATGTTAGTGAGTTTATTACCTTGCTTCGGGTGAAATGATTTTAAAAAAAATCTTACTGTGTTTTCAGCGATATGCTCTTTCTTCAACCTCGTTTATGATTGCAACCCCGGAAAACGGTAATCTCCAAGCTTTGATCAGAATCCCTTACTTCGTTTCGTCTACATGGCTTCTTTTTTTTTTTTTTCTTTTTTTATAAATTTTAGTATTAGTGTATTATGCGGTCTACCCATTAATTCCAGCCGTCCCATTTTAGGGTGGGTGAGAATTAATGGGTTATAGGAAGAAACCTATAATTAATACCAGATGATTTTTAGTCAGTCCCGCAAAGCAGCGGCATTTGGGAAGAAGACGTCTGAATAAAACTTTCTCCTTAGCAATGAAATACGGAGAGAATAATAAAAAAAGAAGTTCGCCCTGTGTGCATTGCACGTTGGGTCATAGCTGAAAAGATCTGAAATGACGAAACTAATGAGTGTAGCCCTTTAGGACATTTGCTATGGAAATAAACATTGTATAACAAGAGGCTCGCGATGTTGCGTCTATGAGGAAAGGTGTTGTATTGTGGGAAACAATTTAACACCCACATGACGGAGTAGACGTTTTTGAATTCTGTAGAAGTTGGAAAATCAGGATCGGGCAGCTCCAGTCCAGATATGGTAAAAATACATCATTTTTGCTCTGATCTGTAAAGACAGAGCCTGGCAGTAGAAGTCAGCTACTTGATAGAACGGTATAATTATTGTTTCAACCGATTGCAACAAATACTTTATGTCGGAGCCTATCTAGTCATGTGTATATTTACATTGGTAAAGTGCGCACGTTTCAATAGACCGCACAGTGCAAGTAGTACGTCATTTTTCTAATCCTCAATTGCTTCACACGCTATAAAAGATGAAAAAAGAAAGAGGGAGTAAGAAAACGTTAGACAGAAAGTCTGTCTGTTTCTACCTTTCATTTCCACCTTTTTCCGCTTTTTTTGTTTTTCTTTAGCATTTTTTCAACCGATTTTCTTTACACTTTTCTCTGTTTTTTGTTTTTTTTTTCACTCAATTTTCTTTTCTTTTTTCTGGCTTTTTCACACGATTTTCTTTTCGCTTTCATTCTGTTTTTTAAACGATTTTATTTTTGCGTTTTTCTGTTTTTTGGGGTTTTTTTTGCTTTTTTTCTTTGTTTTTTTTTTCGCCTAATTTTTGTTCGCTTTTCTCTGGCTTTTTTAACCCGATTATCTTTTCACTTATCTTTAGCTTATTTTACATCTAATTTTCTTTCGCTTTTCTCTCACTTTTCCCCCCGATTTTAGTTTCGCTTTTCTTTAGAATTTTTACCCAATTTTTCTTTTCGCTTTACTTTGTTTTGTTTTTTTGACTGTTTTTTGGCGCCCAATTTTGTTTTCGCTTTTCTGTAGCTTTTTTACCCCCTCCCCCATTTCCCTTTCTCCTATCTTCTGGTTTGTTTTTTTTTCACCTGATTTCTTTCACTTTTTTTGTGGCTTTTTTCACCCAATTTTCTTTCTCTTTTCTCTAGAATTTTTCACCCAAATTTTCTTTTCGCTTTTCTTTTGTTTTTTGGGCACAATTTTCTTTTCGCTTTTCTCGAGCTTATTTACCGCCCCACCTCATTTTCCTTTCTCCTATTTTCTGTTTTTTTTTTTTGTTTTTTTTTCACCCGATTTCTTTTCCTTTTTTTTTTTTTTTTTGGCTTTTTTCACCCAATTTTCTTTCTCTTTTCTCTGACTTTTCTCAACGATTTTCTTTTCACTTTTCTCTAGCTTTTTTCACACAATTTCCTTTTCGCTTTTATTCTGCTTTTTGGGTGTTTTTTTTTTTTTTCATCCGATTTTCTTTTCGCTTTTCTCTCGCTTTCTTAACCTCTACTTTTCCTCCTTTACACCATTTCTCCTTCTATCTCTCTCTCTCTCTCTCTCTCTCTCTCTCTTGATTTTCCCGATTCTGTCGTCTTGTGGATAAGCAGCTGGTGTGTGTGTGTGTGTGTGTGTTACATTATTCACAGAGATTTTGATCCCACGCAATACCATACCTGAACGGAATCAACACTTCCAGAGTACTCAGATATTCTAACTCGAGACGGAAATGTCGATCCATATAAAAATCTTTCCGTCATTCTTACGGATATTATGCTAGTTGTTACTTAGTAAATATAGCTTAATTTCTGTCTGAGTTACTGGGATGAGGATCTATCATTATTTACACTATTTATATTCGGACTATTGTCCTCATCTTTGTTGTTGTTATCACAACGTTTCGACTGTTGCGCCCACCGGTTTTCTTCAGGTTTATATCGATCTGGGTAACCTGCAGTGAATTCTGACCATCCCCACTGAAACCCTGAAATCCCCCCTAGTTAAGAACCCCTGCTCTAAGCGAACTCTTGGATGAAGATTATTATTATTATTATAGATCTGCGCGAGACGCAAGCGTTAAATGTTTCGGTCGAATGAATGCAAGGTATTTAATGGATGCAAGGTAATTTCAAACTCGGCCTAATCGATTATAATTGTTCATACTTGCCTCTATCCTCTTATTTAACAAGACAAAATATTATCCACATCCACTCACACGTTAGCTGATTACTAATGATCCAACCCTGACCTTTCTTTTCATTTTTTTTTTTTTTTTTTTTTTTTCAGATGCCGGCCTGGATGACTGGCTTGATTTGCTTGGTTATAGGGATTCAGGAACGACCATTGAAAAGGCGAAGTCATATTGTTTGCTACTCAATAACACCATGGAGACGAGAACGCAGGAATGTCGCGTGTGTTGCTCGTCTGATAAAAACATCGATTTTTTTTCTTCTTCATCGGCTGTATCTTAGTTTCAAAGTCAATAACCTGGAGCGAAATCCGTTAAGTTTTAAAACAGATGTTACTATCCATTATCATTATCATTATTATTATTATTATTATTAGTAGTAGTAGTAGTAGTACTACTACTACTACTACTAGTAGTAGTAGTAGTAGTATTGATGTTGAGTGAGAGGGAAGCATGACAACAAAATCACGCTGGGGTACAAATATACGAAGCCAAATCTGCTAAGGGTATACCAGACCACTGCCAAATGTGCGTGATATGGTGACAGGTTTTGATAAAAGCAGTACAAAACCTTCCTGGTGGGATCGGTCTAGAAATACCTTCAGGGCAGAGGATGTTCCGATGCATCTAGATCAGGGCTGGGCAGCCCTTGGTACGCGTGCCAAACATGGTACGCTGATGACTTGTTTCTTGCACGTAAAACTTATTCATTAGATTCCCTTTTTGACTTACATTTATTCTTTCTCCTCTTTCATATATACAATTATGTCATGTATTTTATTTTCTGCCCTTTACAGATTGTGTAGAATATCCCGATCATCAGCTAAGAAATATGTCATTCAAATGAAGAGGATATTAGAGAATTTAAAGAATACCGGACTGAAAAAATTGCCATGATTAAGAAAGATAATAAAGCCTTGTGCTTTTTCTGTTCTGAAACAATCGTTTTTAGGACTTCTTCTGTAAAGTAATGTCTTGAAAGTGTTCATAAACAATAAAACTAAGGAGAAACAAAGAGAAATAATCTCTCATGAACTGAGCAAGACAAAATAACAGTCTGATACTTTTTATTAACTTTATTTCAGATAGGCCCACAGTTCCAACTTAGTTGCTGCTAGTTTTGAGGTTTCAAAAGTTATTGCCCAACATGGAAAACCACTCAGTGTTAAGGAGTATATTAAAAAAGCTCGGCTAGAATGTGTGCCTTTCCTTTTTCACAGTTTTTCAGAAAAGGAAAAGATTATTCAGCGCATTAAAGATTTGAGTAGGAAAACAGTTAAGGATAGGATAATTAAGCTGGGAAAGAAAACAGCTGAACAATTGACAAAAGATTTGTCTTCATGTAACTGTTTTTCCATTTGCGTTGATAAAAGTACGGACGTTACAGCATCAGCTAGGCTAGCCATATTTTCTCGATTTTGTACGGGTGATGAAGTATGTGAAGAGATGCTTCCCTTGTAATACTGTTTGAGAATATTAGCGGGGCTGAAATATGTAAAGCTGTTGTGAACGAATTATCTACTCGACAAATTCACATTTCAAAAGTAGAATCTGCCAGAGTACATTATGTCCCCAGCATGACTGGTGAGAAAGCAGGATTTGTAAATCTGTTTGCAAAAGATGTTGGTCATCCAGTGAGATGTTTTCATTGCATCATACATGAGGAGGCTTTGTGTACAAAAGCTGGTCTAAAGGAACTTCAAGAAGTGATGCAAACACTTACCAAGATTGTTAATTATATTTCTGCTCGGGATTTAAATAAAAGACAATTTCAAATTTTACTGAATGAGGAAGAATTTGTATATGAAGGACTGAAAATGTCCAACAATATTCGTTATATAAAGAGTCAATATGTTTTTTGTCTCTAGTTTTATCTGATGTTTTCTTTTGAAAGTGGCAATGGTTCAGGGCTGTTTAAATGTAGTTTTGAAGGTAAACAAATATGTATTTTTATACATCATTTATAAGGGATTTAAAATCAGTAAAATATTGTTTTTAATATCGTTTTACCGTGGTTTAGTCATAAAAATGTATTACTGGGGAAAATGATGATAAGTTAATCGAAAAAACAGGCGTTAACTTTTTGTGCTGATGCTGATGATAGTTAATAGTATCGTTAAATTGTGTGACTACGTATTTCAGTTGCATTTATACTCACAGGCTAATAAAAATATCACAAAAAAAACTTTTTCGTAAAAACCTGTCATAATTTTTATTTTTCATTAAGTCTGTTTTACATGATTTACATATTTTCTCACAATATCGTGTCTTTATTGCCCTGGGGTGATTTTTTATCATTTAAAAAAGTTCTTTGCATACTTAAGAAATGTCAAATATTTTCTCAAAAAATTTTGTTGGTATGTGGAAAAATTTTGTGTCAAAGATTTTGCTGGTTTTGGCACTCACTCTAAAAAAGGTTTCCCACTCCTGATCTAGATGTAAATCCTAAGTTGCCGTGTCTAACAAAAAAAAAAAAAATTATAATAATCTTATCGCCACCTGACTGTGATGCTCCCACTAATGAATAAAGATGCAGGGTGCTCCAGCCCTGAGGGCAATTATTATTATTATTATTATTATTATTATTATTATTATTATTATTATTATTATCTTTGATTTCTGGCGTTTACACATTTCTTTCCGGGTCCCGCCCAGGGACCTAAGGTTAGAAATGGCATCATGACACTTTCCACTGACAAAAAAAAAAAAAAAATTACATAGATAAAGCCCTTCGTAAAGTGTGGGCTGTACTTGTCAGAACAATTTTTTTGTATCTCCTTGAGTCATGGACTTCTAGAAATCCCTTCAATTAGGCTACTGAAATCTTTTCCAACCAGTCCTAGGGCTCCAACTACAACAGGAATTGTTGATGTTCCCATATGCTATATTTTCGAGATTTCTATTTCAAGGTCCTTGTATATTGACAGCTTTTTGAATATCTTCAAAGATACATTACAGTCAGCAGGGACTGCCATATTATTATTATTATTATTATTATTATTATTATTATTATTATTATTATTATTATTATTTCCTTTGGTTTCTGTTGTATACAGTTTTCCTTCATCCCCCAACCAGAGACTTAAGATCAGTAATAACTTCATGTAACTGATCATTTTTATAAAAAGCAAAAACCTACGATTACACACATTTTGCATAATGATCTCTTTGTAATATGTGAGTTGTAATTTTTCTTGTATTTCTTTAAGGCGTTGGCCACCAAGAGACACTTCATTGAATCTGTCGGAATCTTTTCCAGTCAATCCGAGTGCTCCAACTACAGTTGAAGTTATTGCTATCCTTATTATTATTATTATTATTATTTTCTTAGATTTCTGTTGCAGGCACATTTCCTTCCGGGTCCCAACCAGAGACCTAAGGTTAGAAATGTCTTCATTACACACATTTTAAGTAGGAGTCCTTCATAAGGTGTGTGCTGTACTTATGAGTACAATTCTTTCAATTTCTTTAAGGTATAGGCTTACCAGGAATCCCTTTGATGAGTCTATCCGAACCTTTTCCAATCAATCCGAGGGCTCCGATGACCTTCATTTCTTTATCAGTTTAGAATAACATGTTACTAAGAATAAAAGCTTCATCGTTTTCTATGATAGTTGATGTCACATGTTCATAATATTTGTCTTTGACTTTGATGCTATCGTGTTTACAGATTGCCCAGAGCACATATATTGTTGCTTTGTATATATTCTGTTTTGGCCAATTCTGAGCATCCATAGACTAGATGGACTATTGTTTACTGTTTCTTGGTGCATATCCGGTATATTGGGTAGATGTGGTTTTTCAAGATCTTGTTCCGGTAATATCTATTTTTGCAGAAATAATAATAATAATAATAATAATGAGGTAAATACAACCGACCAGATACAAATGCGATGACAAGATTAACCTCTTCGTCGTCAATACTCTGCCCGTACCAAACTAGCTGATATAGACAGACCCTGTACTCATCAGTAGCTACGTAGTGCAGTGTTAAAAGTTGAAACCAAAGGTTTTATTCTTGCAGGGTCTCATCTATGGGCAAATAGTTAACCCTCCCAAAGGGGTCAAAACACTATGAAAGTATAAAAATAGGTTTTAATACCAGCAATACTATTTTTGGAAAAATTTTTACCAGCAATACATTTCTGAAAAAACAATATTACCAGCAATACATTTTTAAAAAATATATTACCAGCAACAAAAAACTTGTCGGCATTAAATAACACATTGAGGTTGAGATGCCAAAAAACAAACTAACCCAAACCAATCATTTAATTGAAATGATAGCACTTTTTTTAGTATATGGGATGTTCCTAGTAGGGCGATTTTCTGGACCACTTGTTAGTTGATGTTACTTGGGACATTGTTAGTAAAATTGTCAATTCCTTTTCTCGCGAGGCCCAGAGCTCCGATTACTTTTGTTATGGTCTCATTATTATTATTATTATTATTTTTTTTTTTTTTTACCTGCAATTGTTTTATAATCACATGCCGGGTCATAACCAATAACTTAAACCAAGCGAAGGATGTGATATTTTTTTTTATTGTTTCCATTTAATTAAACAAAATACAGCTATTGATAAAATGTTGTAACCTACAAAAGGTTACTGAATGAGGAATAACCAAAACGGAAATTTGAAATGAAAATATCAACAAAATACAATACTCACCAGCGGTGGGAAGTAGGTAAACTACTGGTTGTGGTGGACTACTTAGACAGCATATTACCCCCAACTTAGTGTTCAACGTATTTATGAGGATTAGGATATACCCATTAGTGTTCATAGGAACAGTATATAACACACAAGAAAAATCTTAAATGGACAAACCTATTCGCAGGATATAGGCTGTACTTGTCAGAACTAGTTTTGGGATTTCATGGAGAGATGGTGCGACAGGGATTTTGTTGGTTTGCTCTTCAGTTCTTTTTTTTATCAGACCCAAAGCTCCAACCACAACAGAAATAGTTTTCGTTTTTAAGTACGGCATTTCTTTTTTTTTTTTTTTTTTTGTTTCCCTCTCCCAGTTTTTGTATTGGCTTAGCTTCTCTGAAACCACTGCTGAGATGTTTTTGCTACTTGGTACGCTTATGTCAATCAGTATGCAAACTATTTCATTTCTGTTTTTGATAATAATTCCTGTGTAATTTGCTTGTATTGTTCGATCTGTGTTGATAGAAAGAAAATCAATAGCATATTAACATCTATTCCCTCAACTACAGCTTCATGATGCTGTCCATATCAGTTTGATTTCTGTTGTATACTTATTTATTTCAGGTCCCAACAAGACACCTGGCTTAATGTCACATCGCGTTAAAACGCCGGAGTTAAGCAATGTCGAGCCTGTCCAGTACCTAGATGGGTGACCGCTTTGGAATACAAGGTGCTGTAAGCTTGGATGTCTAGATGGTGTGGTGGATAATGGCTGGGACTTGTTAATCGGAGAGCCGAGTTCCAATTCCCGTTAGGTTCGTTATATTTACTTACACGCAAATACCCTTGAGAAAGGCATGAATCCACATCTTTTGCCCGCTAGTTATGGATTAATTAGTAAGACATGTATCACTAAACCATTATTATTTCCAAAAATCAAATTCTTACAATCTATAAATGTTTTCTGGCTTTAAATAACATGCAAAGGGTTGATAAGCCGTAGAAAACAAATCAATCAATAAATTAACCAGTGACCTTAGGACAAAAAAAATGGCATCGTGACATTTTCCACAGTACCTTTGCGTAAAATAAAATAAAATAAAAACTACAAATGCATATACATATTAAATAGATAAAACCGTTCGTGGGACGTAAGTTTTGCTTGTAAAAAGAATATTTTCTTTATTTCTTTAAGACCATCTACCAGAGATCCCATCAATGAATTTCTCAGAACTTTTAATAAACTTTTAACCTTTTTTTAATTAAAAAAAAAACCCTAAAGTCTCACACATTTTACCTAGATAAAGCCTTTCGTAAGATGTATGCTGTACTTGTGAGAACAACTTTGTTGTATTTCTTTGAGGAATGGGCTATCAGAGATCACTTCAATGAGTCTATCAGAACATTTTCCAAACAAACCCAGGACCTCACCCACAACTGGAATTATTACTGTCTTCATGTACAACATTTTTATTTTAATAGTTTTCTAAATATCCTCAAAGTTAGATTACAGTCTACAGGAACTGCGATGACGAAGAAGCATGTTCTGTTTTTGTGGTCTGGACGGTTACCTTTGATTGTTCTGTATGCGTGTATTGTAAAGTCTCCCAAAATTATTACAGGTCCTATGTCTGTAACCGGGACTGGGTGGTATTCCTATCAATTTCTTGCAATTACATAAACATTTCAGATTTTCCATTACAAATATGTCATGCTGAGTTTTATATTCGATAGATGCTAATACCGCGAAATCTGATACAAAATGGTCACATATGGATCCGTACATTTCTCAACGGTATTCGCATGAAAGTGAATGCAACGGCCTTTGGCTGGAATTTGAACTCAGCAAACCAATCCTATTTTCAGCGCCAATAACCGCTACGCTACCCACCCACACATCTTACTGAGATGATTGCGCGGCATATTTAGCAGGATTTTTAAACAGATTCCGTCGGCAATGATTACAAAAGTAATTGTGGTCATGCTGAGTTTTATATTTGGCGCTTGTTATTACTGTGTAGCCTGATAAAAGATGGTCAATTGTTTCTGGATATTCATCACAGAATCTGCATTTCGGGTTGATACACTTTCTCAATATTGTTTGCTTGATAATTTCTAGTTAGGAAGCATTTGCCATATTCAGTTTCAGCTTTTAATCGTGTACTGCGCAAACTACTGGTTGACATGGGGTTTGTTTGTATCAGCTTGCCATGAAGAGTTTTTACATTTACGATTACCATTACAATTGCTTTTGTCTTCTTTTTCAGCTTCTTTGCCGCTGCAGTAGGTGGATTATGGCTTACTTGCTCTTCTTCATCCACTTGAAATTTCCTTTTGAATTTATCGCCTTCCGTTATTACTGAATAAAGTTTCTTTTTTTTTTTTTTCATGTTCTTTGACACAGACCATCATCCAGTCGTCTGTAGTTTCTAGGTATATTTGAAGGCCCATTGTTGTCGTTTTATAAGACAGTTCTAGTTGAACAAATCCTCCCCCTCCTTCGGATCTGGACACATACAGACGATCAACATCAGCCTTAGGATTATGCATTCAGTGGCAAGTGAAGGGCTTTCTCGTTTTGACACCCATTCGCTTAATGACAGCTATGGTCCAGTTAAGGATGTCGAATGGTCTTTAGCGATTGATTGCAAATATAAGCTCGACTTGAGGTCCGGGGTGAACTTGAATCCCAATGGAATGAGAGGAACTTGAATCCCAACCCCAGAGTAGAAACGAGATACGTCTTGTCACAACAGCATCCTACGATTGAGGAGAGAACGAAGAGAGATAGACAGATAGAGAGAGAAAGAGAGGGAGAGAAAGAGAGGGAGAGAGAGAGAGACGACAAACTGGACTAATTTTTATACTATAAACAAGGAATATTTATTTCCGAGACATTGTGCATATGTTTGGTGACTGACTTGTGTTCGACTAACAGGCACTTTTTTCCATATGTCCAGTAAGATATTTTGGAGCAGTTGTACTCAGATTCTTTTTTTTTTTTTTTTTTTTTTTTTTGGCGGGGGGGGGCTTGTTCTTGGCTTAGGCATCCTTTCCATCATATTTTAGAATGAAATTCCCCTTTTTTAAAAAGCCAAAAGTTACGTTGTAGAATTTTCGTGTGTAAAAATATCAATATCCCAATAGTGTGCATTTACCAATGTTTGGTTCAAATTCCTTTCTGAAACCTTATAATTCCTCCCGGGGAGGGGAATAATTCCTTTCCTCCTGGTTGAGGACCTCTGTTTTACGGAATAACAAGTGCTTGGATTTTTTTTTCTTTTCTTTTTTTTTTTTTTGATTGTTAATAATTATGTTTATAGTCAATAACATCTGGGATGCCATTGTGGGATTTCATTTCTCCCATTTCAATATTTAGTTGGCTTCTTTTCACTCAGACGCTGAACCTAAGAAGCTTGAGATTTGGATTGCTTTTCTCAACTGTTTTCTGTGGAAGTGAATCTGAAAGAAAGTTAGGTATTCCAATTAAGGTAAGCTAATAAAACCTTTACGGACACAATGATTTTAGTTAAAGTATTTCTATAAGTAAAGGTTAGAGGGAAAGTTTACAATAGATTATATTGGATAATTCCTCACAACAAAAGGGGTTTTCTTTTGTCTCTCATACGAGAGATAAAGAAAAACCCTTTTGTTAATAATATATCGTACATTATATAACTACCTTTATTTCTAGTTTTCCTTTCATTTTTAATTTCTTTTCTTTCTTTTTCTTTTCTTACCGTTTTCTTTCTTCCTTTTGTTTTCTTTTTTCTTTCCTCTTTTTTCTATCTCTCCTTTTTCTTTTCTTTCCCTTTTTTCCTTTCTTTTCTGTTTTCTTTTCATTTTTGGTTTTCTTTCCGTTTCTCTCTCTTTTTTGTCTTTTTCTTTCTTTCGTCTTTCTTTTCTAATTTCCTTTCTTTCTTCCATTCTTTTTCTTTATTTATTGTTTTTGTTTTCTTTCCTCTTCTTTATTTCCTTCTTTCTTTCTTTCTTTCTTTCTTTCTTTCTTTCTTTCTTTCTTGTTTCTTTTCTTGCCGTTTTCTTTCTTTCTTTTGTTTTCTTATTCTTTCTTTTTTGTCTTTCCTTCTTTCTTTCTGTCTTTTTCTGTCTTTGCTATTTTCTTTTCTTTCCCTTTTTTCCTTTCTGTTTTCTTTTCATTTTTGGTTTTCTTTCCGTTCCTCTTTCTTTTTTTTGTCTTTTTCTTTCTTTCGTTTTTCTTTTCTAATTTCTTTTCTTTCTTTTTCTTTCTTTCTTTATTGTTTTTGTTTTCTTTCTTTTCTTTTCTTTCGTCTTTCTTTCTGTCTTTATTTGTTTCTTTCTTTCTTATTTTCTTTTCTTTCCTCTTTTTCTTTCTTTGTGTTCACTTTTCTTTTCATTCTTTGGTTTTCTTTTCGTTAAAGAATATTCAGAAATTATTTTTCAATCTCCTATCCACTGGCTGATAATTATCCAGCATGTGCCCATAAAATGATTGATTAATTCGTTTTTTTACGGTTTATCAACCCTTATTTAAAGCCAGGAAATATTCTTTAGATTCTAAGAATTTTTTTTGAGGCGATAATGATTTTAGCGGTACAAGTTTTACTAATTAACCCAGAGAGAAGAGGTGGAGTCACACCTTTCCCAAGGGTATTTGCACGAAAGTAAATGTAACATACCTAATGGGAATTGGAACTCGGCTTTACGATTAACAATTCCGAGCCATTATTCATTACACCACCTGCACATTCATGCCTTTGGCGCCTGGTATTCCAAAACGGTCACCCATCTAGGTACTGACCAGGCTCAACGTTGCTTAATTTCGGTGATCGTACAGGAACCAATATTTCAACGTGATGTGGCCGTAATCCCCCATAAAATGGTCATATTTTTCAAGCATTCCAGCAGCTGGCAAGGCTATCATATTGGCACTTACATGTGCATCGTGTTTTATGATGTATCATTTCGCCATTCTTTGGATTCGTTTAGTTAGGTCCTCTGGTTCTGGGGACACATCGGCTTGGATTAAAGGTTAACGAGCTCGTTTAGCTGCTGAGTAGTGAGTTCAATCCTCACTGGGTACTCCATACTTATGGCCTTGAGCCAAAACTAAGCTACACTTAGTAAGTACCGTCCGGTTCACACACCTCCCCAGTTTTTTGAACCTGAATTAGAATTATATCCCTTTTTTCCGTTTAGGATGGGATTTCCAGTTCCTTCAAAAGTCTATTTCAACTTTATACTTCTAATTTCTGAAATTATATTTACTAATTATTTATTTTCTTCTCAATAGGAGTAGATAGCTCCGCTTATCGTCCAGTTTATATTCTTCCCCGGTCTTTTAAACAGGAAAAGAATTTTATCCCTTGTTTTCTGTTTTGGATGGGATTTCCGGCTCCTTCTAAAGTCTACTTCAACCCTATACTTCTAACTTCTGAAATTTTATTTACTAATTATTTATTTTTCTCCTTAATAAGAGTATATAGCTTCGCCCATCTCAGTCTTTTGAACAGGAGAAGAGGTTCCTTTGTTGCATGTTTAGGCTTGGGTTTTCGATTCCATCTAAAGTCTTTCCCTTCTTTTTCATTTCCAGTTCCCTTGCGGCTCAGTGGTGTTATCGCCTTGCATGGGGTAAATTAATTAAAAAAATAACAAGTTGATGCCCCTGGCTTGCTAATTGCCATTACACACAAACATACACACATTCGTCCTATAACAAACTCACCATACAATTTTGTCTTAGCCTGTGAATGTCCTTTATTGGACGTAGGCCTTTCCCAGATTATTGGGGAGAGGAATTGACTATTAACTTATTGCGCAGGACCAATGAGTCTTGGTAGAGGTGCATGCAACACGCTTGGGCGATCATGTCGCTTTTCGATTCATGATCGCGCATAGATGAATGTAACGAACCCGACTGGAATTCGAACTCGGCTCTCCGATTTCTCATTACATCCATTACACCACCAGCACATCACACATTCAAGGTTACAGCACCTGGTATTCCCAAGCGGTCACCCATCTAGATACCCACCAGACTCGACGTTGCTTAACTTCGGTGATCTGACGAGAACCGATATTTCAATGTGATATGGCCGTAATCAACCCCCACTCTTACCACACAACTTAACACGCTCATATTACGCAGACACATTCATCACACATACGCGTTCGCACATGCGCATTCCATAATTTAAAAAAGGAAGTGAAAATGAATGTTTCAGCACGCGTTTCTTTACTCGTTCATGTTTATAACAATTGCGTGCCTCTGCATGTATGTTAGGGTGCATGTGTGTGTGTTCGCGCAAGCTCCTGTATCTCGGTGAGTAAGGCAAGGGGCAGCGAGTGGGTATGGAAATATGTCTGGATATAGACTCCAATACAGTGAATGAGTAATATCTGATATTTTCTATTTAAAAAAAAAAAAGGTCATCCTTGTTCACCCACATTTTTGTTTGTCTTCCGTTTCCCTATTCCACTATTTGTTCTCCGGCGAACAACAATAAGTCTCTTCCTTTTCCTAAATGCAAGAATTTTTTTTTTGTCTCGCGAAATAAATGTTTACTTGTTTTGGTCTCTTTCTTTCTTTTTTTCATTATTTATTTCGCTTTCTTTCTTTCTTTCTTTCTTTCTTTCTTTCTTTCTTTCTTTCTTTCTTTCTTTCGTTTTCTTTCTTAGTTATTTTTCCTCCTGCTTTCTTTCTTTATTATTTCACTTTCTTTCATATTAATTTATTTATTTCGCTTTCTTTTTTCTTTATTTTACTTGCTTTCTTCTTTCTTGATTTATTTCGCTGTCTTTTTCTTCTCTCTGTTTTTTTGCATTTTTCTTTCACTTCTCTCTTAATGTTTTCTAGTTTTATTAATGTTTTTTGTTTCTCGCTCGCTGTGAGTCAAACACTTACCGTGAAGCAATGATTAGTAATCTGGACCCTCAGTTCATTACAACAGCGTCGTGGATTCGAATTTCGTAGCCTTTTGTCACGCAAAGCTAAGCCTGAATTTACTGATAAATAATAATAGTTAATTATCTCTTTAATCACACATCCTTTGCTTTCTTAAATTTTCCTCACATTGCCTTTCGTTTACATATCCTTTCTTCCCTTCCTTTTTTCTTTCCTTTATTCCCTTCTTTCTTTCTTTTCCTTTCCTTTCCTTTACTTTCTTCCCTTCTCTTTTTCCTTCCTTCCTTCCTTCCTTCCTTCCTTTTCTTTCATTCCTCCCTTTCATTTCCTTCTTTCCATTCATTTTCTTTTCTTTACTTTCGTTCGTTCGTTCGTTCGTTCCTTCCTTCCTTCCTTCCTTCCCTTTCCTTTCCTTTCTTTTCTTTCATTCCTTCCTTTCATTTCCTTCTTTCCGTTCATTTTCTTTACTTTACTTTACTTTTCCTTCCTTCCTTCCTTCCTTCCTTCCTTCCTTCCTTCCTTCCTTCCTTCCTTCCTTCTATTCGCCGCTTCTATTTTTCGCTGCGCCTGCTGTAGTTTTTATTCTGATCATTCTTCTTTCACTTTATTTTACACAGTTTTTCCTATTTTTCCTAAACTAACCTTGAGTGAGTCCTTTATCCTATCAGGGTCTTCTTAGGTGTACAAGCAGCACCGGTACGTCTAGGGAAAGACGGCCTGACGGAGCCGAGTCCACTTTTCAAGTTGGCTTTGAATTAAGAGTTTTCCTTCTTTTAGACTAGTTGCCACTTCAAGGCAAGAGATCCAATCAGCCTCATTTAATTAATCTATAGATGGCAAGAGAAGAGATGGGTTCATATATTTCCCAAGTGTATTTGCGGGAAAATAAATGCGACGAACCCGAAAAGCGAAACCGAACTCACCTTGCTGATTTCTCTTTTCGAATTGCTAAAGTGTTACACTCCCTGCACATTAAGAACCTCGTTCGACACAAAATTAAAGAGGAGAAAATGTTGTTCGAAAAAATGAGTTTAACGCTACCCTTGCAAGTGGATTGAACGTGTTGGCCTTGTACATATTTTCAAATTTCGGTTTATGAGTTCGAACAGCAACAGTTGACATCAGAGAGAAATACCACAAAATTTTCCACCTTTCTTTATTGCGTTTTTTCTTTAATTTGCATGCCCGTAAAAACTGACTAACTCTTTCTTTCTTTCTTTCTTTCTTTCTTTCTTTCTTTCTTTCTTTCTTTCTTTCTTAAAATTACTCGGTTTTCCCTTAATTTCTTTTTAATAACTTTTCTTTCTTTCTTTCTTTCTTTTTGAAAATTACTCGTTTTTTTCTCTTAATTTCTTTTTTAATAACCTTTCTTTCTTTCTTTCTTTCTTTCTTTCTTTTTGAAAATGACTCATTTTTTCTCTTAATTTATTTTTTAATAACCTTTCTTTCTTTCTTTCTTTCTTTCTTTTTGAAAATTACTCGGTTTTCCCTTAATTTCTTTTTAATAACTTTTCTTTCTTTATTTCTTTCTTTCTGAAAATTATTCAGTTTTCTTTTCCCATTTCTTTCTTTCTTTCTTTTTTCTTTCTTTCTTCCACCATTTCTTTCATTTCTCAAATCTTTTTTTTCCTTTTGAGTGTACTATTCCCTCCATAAAACATTTTCGACAGCTACCAAGTCCACTTTTCTCCCCAACATTTCTCTCCTTGTGTCTGTGTATCCGCCTCTACATTTGTTTCGAATGAAAAATCGACCAGGCTTTTTTGAAAGGGCCAACTAACCTACACACCGTTTTATTTGACCGTGGGAAGCCTGTCCCTAATAATTGGCATCCGGAACCACACACACTTATTTTATAGCATCATGCTTTTGCTAGAGAATGAGGTAGGGTGTGAGCAACTGGAGTCTTGCCCTCGTTTTCTCCCCAAAGAAAGTCCATTACCACCGGTTAAACTAAATAAATGACTAAATAAATATTAACCAACAGCGTTCGTTAATAGTTCAATTCAATACAAAAACAGAAAATGAAGAACATTACGACATTAATTTCATCATTTAAATGGTACATTAAGCAAAATACTCTCTTCTCATACTGTTTCATAGTCAGCACAGAGATCCTGAAAGTGGTTGATATCAACCCCTGGGGGTCGATGGAATTATCCAGAGGGTTAACAAATGTATGGTGAGTGTAGAGGATCTCGATAAATATCTGGAGGTCAAAAAGAGGTTGAAAGATAAATCATAGTAATTTATGGCTTAGGTACCTCCAACGATTCGCTAAAAAATAATGAAAAAAATGCTACCCCCCCAAAAAAAAAAAAAAAAAAAAAAAAAAAATTTGATTGTCAAAATCAGTTATTATTACGAGGAAATATCAAAGGAGTTTTATTGTTATTGAATTATATATTTTTAATCCGTTTTAGAAAATTCGAAATATAAATAATTCCCGGATTTTAGTGAAACTCTCAAGACTTATGCACAAATGAATGAAATTATTTTTGAAACGTTTCTTTTTTTTCTTTTTTAGAAAATCTTAGTAAAAATTTTTTTTAAAAGTCTGTTACCTGCCACCCTCCAACTTATTTAATTTTATAAAAAAAAATTTTTGTAGGGTTTAAATTTTATATTAGTTATAAGAACAAGTCCATGGAGAATTTATATCATCGATTTTTTTTATCAAACAGGACACCTAGTTACAGAAAATCTTCTCTGAGTATTAAAGTAAAAATAATACAGTAAAACTAAGACATTATTTAATTAGAAAAGCTACTAATTGCTTTTATGAATAAGATGGACACTATATCTAAAGAAAGAACATTTTTCGATGAGTAATTAATTATTATAAGAATTGTTTGCATTTTTTAATATTTAATTATAATAATATATAAAGTTTTAAATCTTAAATTCCGTATTAATTTGCAACGGTTACTTGATATTGTTCTTAAGTAAAAACTATATTTTCTAATCATAAATGGAAAAGCTTGCTATAATTAAGCGAACACAGTATTTTAAAAAGTATTTTGAATTTTTTTTGTGTGTGTATAAACGTGACGATTTTTGTGAATACGAACGTCTATACACGACATTATCAAAAAAAGAAGTGAGGTAACTATAGAAAATTTAAAATTAATTGGGAATTTTCTAACATTTGCTCAACAAAGTAAGACGAAAAAGACAAAGTAGCTAAAATTCAATAAAATATTGGATTGCATAGAATATTTTCTTATTATTATTGAGTAGTTACAATAAAGGCGTTCACATTGTGTTAATCAATTAATTTTTACAGTTATGTGCCCTTTACTTAAAATGTCAAAAGCTATCGATAAATCAACACTTTATAAAAAGCCATCTGCGTGACAAAAAATCTTTTTCTGTGATGTTTTAAACTAAAAGTAATTCAGATTAATTAAACTTCAAATCAGGTAATTTTCCTCAAATAAAGTTTCGGAAAAGTATATTTTATTTTTTAAAGATATTTTTTTAAAGTGAGAATTTTGTTGTTTTGTTAATATTACTGACTTTAATGATTTTAGCGATTTAAATAAATAATTCCTATAAATTTAAATTCGCTTGGAAATACAAAGGGTTTTGATTACTGAAAATATTAAATTTAAATTATTATCTTGGAATTAAAACTAAAATAAAACCTACAAGAAATGCATTTTAAACCTAACGTATCGCTTTTTTAAGGTACCTACTAAAAATAAACCAATTTACAACCAAATTTCTATGTCCTTACTGCTGCTCATGCTAATAAAAAGGTATATTAATTTATTTTTAATATCGATATATAATAGGTATATTAAAAAGGTATATTAATTTATTTTTAATATCTATATGTAATAAGTATATTAAAAAGGTATATTAATTTATTTTTAATATCTATATATAATAGGTATATTAAAAAGGTATATTAATTTATTTTTAATATCTATATATAATTGTTTTCTCCCAACGCTATTTGACCTTCAGGCTAGGATCAAAATATGGCAAAATAAGAGAAAGTGATTGGTCCCAGGGATTCCAACCTTCCTCATTTCAGAGAGGTGATGTCGGTGTAATATCAACACCAGCGTGACAGTGGTCACGGTTACTGGGCAATTTTTGTCCTTGTGCGCGTATGGTCTCCCCACATAATAATGACCTTGTATCACATACTATATAGGAAATAAACCCTATTTCCAACATAATTACAT